TAACTTAGACCTTTTTGTCCGATAAAATTATTTAAACTCTCTTTTTAAAATATAAAACACATATTTTCTAATGCAAATCGATAAGCTCCATCCAACGGGCAAGAAAACAAATAAGTAGAAGTTCTTCTGAAATTTTTTATTGTGACTATCGTACACAAACTGTAAATACCTTAAAATTTGAATATCTCGGTTCGTGCACGCCAATAGCCGCTAATATTTTAAATTTGATAGTTTGGGATAGTGAGAGCTTTCAATTGAGCCGAACATGTCCCATCTTTATAATTATCAATAGAAACACCTCCATTGTTAGATAAACTAAATGAGCTTCTATAAAACAAAATAATAACGAAGTATTTTTTCATATATTTCAATTCGAGATGTGCGGAAGCGATTCTTTTTTTTAGTTGTAATCCTCTCACAGATCTCCATCGTACCAGAAAATCTGCCGCTGCGACAAAATTTCAAGAAATGTTTCTCGAAGCACTATCATCGAGATACTAGACTAGTATTCTTCTTATTAATCCATTAGATTCACCAAATCTTATGATATTACATTTGTGAACACCAAAATCCTCTACAAAATCATACAGTATTGTAATGTACTTCCAGAGAAAGCTGCGCGACCCTATAGACATCTCTCATTCCCATTGATTTAATTTTCAGTGATCCTATTGATAGTCTCAGTAAAATTGATTCTAGTCTACAAATGAGATCTGATGTCTTACTGTAAATCATTTTGATGGATTAAAGACCAAACATTTATTTCAATAAGATTTAATTTCAATGAAAGATCAATATCAATATACTAAAATAAAAAATATTTATTTATATAAATAAAAGATGAAGTTTTTCTAAACCTCTTCTGGATAATATAATTGTTGCGAAGATTGATCATCTTTATAACCAATTGCTTGATATAATTTTGTTTTTTCTTCCATTGATAATGAATCAGTAAATTTAAATTCTTAAATAAAAAAAAAACGATAAAATTTGTTTAATTAAGTGCCCCCCCCCCCCCCCCCCCTTCAGAAAAGTTAATTTTGATCAAATTTATCGATTTTGTGACTTATAGCTCGTCAGATAGAGCAATGTGTTTACTCTCGAATTCAATAAAATTGATTGATTTCATGATGAAATTTAAGGATATTGCATAGATTTTTCTGAACCTTCATATTGAAAAAATAAGGTTTTTAAAAACTTAATTTTCGTTTTTCTCAAATTTTTTTGATCATGAATTCAAGAATTTTTGAAAAAAGGATTTTTATAAAACAAAGGAAGAAAAATTCAAAAATCGGGTCCTGTTACAACCTAGCCCTAAGGGCACTCTACAACCTAAAAACCGTCCAAGCGTATTAGCTCGTATCCTTATTGTGAAAACCTTGCCCGCGTACAGGGTACTTTTGACCAATAAATTGACAATCGTATCCTAGACTAATATCTTCCAAAAAATTTGGGTGAAATCAGACGAAAAATAACAAAGTTGGTTTCTGAGAGGGTCCCCTTAATAAAACCTATATTATCTTGATTTGAATTTAAATTCCACCAATTGACTAATTTATCCCACCAAGAAAGATCTTTTTCTTCAATTTTTTTCTTAGCATACTAAATTAAACAT